CAATACAAAAGTCTCCTTTAAAAACTCTTTTGTGTATTTCTCCATTCTCTTAGTGATCTAAGTTTTTCCCGAAATCTTGACTTGAATGATGTTGCTTTGCACTAAAATGATGAGCAAAATAGTGTCATCTCTTCCAAGTGAGAATATTGTCAATGGCAACATCAATACAGTAGTAAAGGTGACACCACCAGGGCCAAGAAAGAAATTGCAACTAGCAGTGATAGAGCCTGGGTTGGGAAGTGGTGTTTCTTCACCTGACTATATATTGGATAATTATTTAAAGACACTTACACAAAGAGTCAAATATCATCTTGGTAATATTTTACTATTCTCCTTCATTTGATCTTCTGTCTTTCATGTAAATTATTATCTAGTTCATAAATTTGACACATAAAAACATTGAATGAAAGCAAACGTAGGGATTCCCTTACGAACGAATGCAATACGTGAAAGGCTTACAGATGTAGTACTAATTTATAATGTGAAAATTAAAGATTAATTTATGAATTATATAATTGATCCTTTTGTCTCTCTAGGTTTTCCAGAGAACATATGTTATGATCACCACGTTGCTTTAGCTCCACTTTTGCAATTTCACTTAAATAATTGTGGTGATCCTTTCACGGAAAACCCTGTGGATTTTCATTCAAAAGATTTTGAAGTGGCTGTTTTGGATTGGTTTGCCAAATTATGGGAAATTGAGAAGGATGAATATTGGGGTTATGTTACTCATGGTGGCACAGAAGGCAATCTTCATGGAATTTGGATAGGGTAAGTATCTACTATCACGATGATAAAAATGATTTTTACCGGCAATAAATATGTACATTAACAAAGAGTATTAAAGTCTTTATCTACACTAGTTAATATATTGTCATTGGATCCAATGTTGTTATAGACTTTAGGAACATTAACAAAAAATATTAATTACCTCTAAAAAAATATATTTAACAGCAATTAAGTTATTACAATATCTATATATACCATTGTTAGCATTTCCAAATTCCTAAATGGACCTATATTAATGTATTCAAAGGAGGTTAATTGATACATCTTTGTACAAAAACTACACTATATATGTAAACCACATGGATAATATTGTGCCCAAAGTCACATCTAACTATCTACTTGAGTCTTGTGTGCTTTTGATTAATTTCCCCTAGATATTATCAAGATGTGTCAATTGCTAATTAAATTAGTGGTCCCAACATGTCTTGTGAGGCATTCATATATAAGTTTGTGCTAGCACATTTATAATAAATTGCAAAAAGAAGATCACCAATTTAGTTCAATAAATTCCGTACTTTATAGCTATTTTGGAATATCAAAATTTGTAGTGAATGGTGACAAATTAGTAATATTAAGAGTTGATATGACAAAAAGTAAAATATAATAATGTTCTTAAGTTTTTAGTTTTTTTAAATTAACTCAATAATATTTTCTTTGTAGGCGAGAGTTACTTCCTAATGGAATCTTATACGCATCAAAAGATTCTCATTATTCAGTCTTCAAAGCTGCAAGATTGTACAAAATAGATTTGGAAATGATCAACACAACAACAAATGGAGAGATGGATTATTCTGATTTGAGAGCAAAATTGCTTCATAACAAGGACAAACCAGCAATTATAAATATTAATATTGGTAAATATTAATATTTATTTCATTCTTTAATTAATTATCTCATTCTCTTAATTAGAACTCTAGCCTAGCCTTTTTCTTAATGGTAGGAACTACATTCAAAGGGGCTATTGATGACATTGATGTTATTCTTCAAACACTTGAAGATTGTGGTTATTCCCATAATAAGTTTTACATCCATTGTGATGCAGCACTAAGTGGACTTATTGTCCCTTTCATTAAAAATGTGAGTTTTCTAACA